GGGCCCATGATGCCTGAACTCTAGGAGAGCCAAATGTCTGTTATTTTTTGCCTTCATAGGAAAGTTGATCGGGGTAGACAGGAAACAAGGGGAGAGATAAAAAGGTCCAGTCAAACTGCGGAAGCTGCTGCAGGCGACCTTTTTTGTTTGTTTGTTATAGCTAATAAACTGTAGTATATAGTTAAAACTATACTATACTATAACTACAGTATACAATCTATAACCACAGAGTACAGAATACAGTCTATGGTTATAGCTTGTTTAGTTAATCACTACAAATTGCATCCTGGAGTCTCCACTTCCCTTCAAATCCCCACGGTGTCAGTGTTACAAGATCTTTTTTTAGCAGTGGAGTGTGGAGTCAAAGGAGTCTCATGAAAAAAGAAATACATCTGTAAAAGAAAGCTGTTTCCCCTGTTTCCAGTTTTTATGTGAAAAAATGAAAATGAAAGTGGTACTAATCTTCTCATCTAACTCCCAGCAAGAAAGTGAATGAGCATATTTCCTAAAATCTAAACTATTCTTTTAAGAGCTCATTGTGCATTACATCTCATATTTATAACAGTGACCTATTATTGTTTATCTGACTACAGAGATTGTGTGAACTGATATTTGTTTGCTTTTTAAATATACTTCATTAAATTATTCAAACAGGGATATGTAACAATAATAATACAATCATTAATAACATTTTGTCCAATATCAACAATAATACATAGGTTTCAGCACAATACTCCATAAATAAAGTACAACAAATTCTCTTAACAAGATACAGCCTATTATTAGGATATCTGTTTGCTGTAACATGTCATTTGATGCAGACCTGTTTCTTTCTGTAAAGACTATTTCACTTGATAGTGTTGTCATAGCTGATAATAGTCCATTAAAGAAAGTCCCATTCAGAAATATCCCTCCATTAACTGCCAACATGCTGACATGTATTTTGAAGGAATGTTGGTGTGACATCCTGTTGTATCTTTCTACTTAGATTGTGGCTAAACCGTTGGATATTGAAAAGATAAAATGTCTTGCTCTCTGAATGCACGGTAACCTATTTAACAACAAAGAAAAGGCTCCCCCCTCCAAAAACATACAGGTCTTTAATTTGAAAAGCCCTTTCAAATGAGCCATAAATGTGGCATCATGGTTCTTTTGACTGAATAAAACTTTCCTTTTATTTTGTATTCTTTTCTTTCATCCCCTGGCCTTGATACCAAAATTCATGAGTGGATGTCTTCATTAGATACAGATCTTGGCTCCTATTGTTGTCTTTCAACTCAGCAGCTCCTTCTTCTCGGTATGTGAGCCCTGCTCAGTGTCTGTACAGTGGCAGTCTGAATCCACTTGATGGCGCTGTGTGTTAGAGGGAGGCCTAGCACAAATTCTTTTGAAACACTGCTTTATCTTTTGTCTTTACTTCAGACACTCCACTCCCTGGTTTCAGGTTGCCCCCGGGTTGTGCAAGCTTGACATGTGTTGACTGAAAATGAAAGAAACCTTTGAGGTGAAAAGAAAGTGATACAAAATAGGTTTTTAAAAAAGATATTTGTAAACATAAAATTGGAGTAATTTCTACCGCTGACATGGATCATATCTATACACAGAATATTAATCCTTGTTTTTAAATTCAGTGCTCTTCAGTATGGGGGTAGTGATGGGACAGTGGATAAGACACATATCTTTGGTGTGAGAGACCCGGGTTCAGTTTCCCACTGTGACATATCCACCAATGTGTCCCTGAACAAGACACTTAACCCCTAGTTGCTCCAGAGACGTGCGACCGATAGCATTTGTAAGTTGCTTTGGATAAAAGCGTCAGCTAAATGTAATGGCAATATATTTATCTTTTTACATATTTTTATCATGGGATGCTTACATAGGATATATTTTCTCTATTATCCTATGGAACAATCTTGCTGATTAATGGGAATTTGAATACAATTCATAAATACCACTCTGTGTACAACATACCAGCATCCACATGTGAATCAATGTGCACATGTGTTGACACATGCATTTAAACTGCATATGAATATGACACATTACTGTGTATATGCTTGTGTATTTTTTTATTTATTTTCTGGACAGTGTAACTTGTAGAAATTTTTAAAAAATGAAATGAGATAAGGGTAAGCATAGTAGGCTTAGAGGGAGCGAGTTCATTGTTCTACTCTGTTTTTTACATTTACCCATTATTTTGTAGCTGTTTAAGCTGTTTATTTTTTCTCTCACTTGTGTTTTAATGACTGAAATAAAGATTTCCATATGCAATAAATGAAGCAACTCATTGTTCAGGATCATCAAAACCTGTACTGTGGAAAATTTGTGTCCCTTCACTGAAATGAAGTCAGTTCTTCCATTTTTGCCTGGACAGCCATGACTTAATGTGTGCCCACCTGGGTGCATAAACTGTCACTCTGACAGCCTGGCTATGCATGGCTTACTTCTCCTTCATTCATTTTATAGTGTGCATGTATCACTTTATGGCATCCATCTATCTAGTAAACCTTGAAAAGGCTGTTGAGGCTATGGATAAATCTGAGGGTGACACTCTGACAGTCTCTGATCTGCCTGTCCATGTTGCCTGAAATCTCTCTCGGCGATCGTAACTTTGCTCTCTCACGCATTCTGACATATTTCTCGCTGAAGCAGAGGTCTGTGTTTGTGTGTGTTTGTGTGTTTGTGTGTGTGTGTGTGTGTATGTACAGGTATGTGTGGCATCAGATAAACCAGCTCAGCTCTAATGTCACCTGTCAAGTCGCAGCTGGCAGAGAAATATACAAAAATATTTCAGCATGACAGCATGATACAGCTGAAAATAAGAGTTTTGTGTGAGAATGAGTAGCTGTGATCTACTCTAAGTGAGTGCGTGTGTGTTGCAATTGAGCCTGGCATATAGACATGTTTGTGTGTGTAAAGGAGTATGTGAGTGTAATTAATGATGTGTTCCTCCTCTTCATAGGGTAATAGGATTTCCCCACCCCAGGCGGTAAAGAGAGTGGGAGGGGGAGAAAACGGCTCTGCATGTATGTGTGTGAGATGGAGAGAGTGTGTTTGAATGGGAGCCCCATGTAGTGATGCCAATAGAGGGCCTGTGTGTGTGTGTGTGTGTGTGTGTGTGTGTGTGTGTGTGTGTGTGTGTGTGTGTGTGTGTGTGTAGGGGGGAGGGGGAACAAGCGAGTGATTTATAACAGCTTCTCCAGGTCTCTCCTCTCTCCCACAGCAGCACCACAAACACATCCATTACAAAAGTACTGATGTTAATGGGATTGTGTGTGTGTGTGTGTGTGTGTGTGTGTGTGTGTGTGTGTGTGTGTGTGTGTGTGTGTGTGTGTGTGCGTGTGCGTGATACAGAGGCTGCATAAGTGTGAGTGTGCACCTTTATGTGTGTGTGAGTGATAACCAGATGCTACTAGGTGAAAGGAAGGTGAAGGTTACTGGGGGTGTTTCGTAGAGGTTTACTGGAGCTCAAGTCCAAGTGCAAGTTTCCGTTTGTGTGTATGTGTTTGTGTGTGTGTGTTTGTGTGTGTGTGTGTGTGTGTGTGTGTGTGTGTGTGTCGCTCTGCTGGAGAAACCCAGCTGAGGAGATGGAGTAATAAAAAGCAGAGTTGAGGAAAATACTCTAGAGAGTAAACAGAGGGAGCAAAGAAGAAATAAATAAAGAGGATGTAGAGCTCCTTGGTAATGGACTGGTGGATGCTGAAGACCACATCCGCCTCAGTGTGTGTGTGTGTGTGTGTGTGTGTGTGTGTGTGTGAGAATCTATGTATATATACACACATAATGTCTGCCTGTCTTCTCTCACATTACCCTTTACATTAAAACCAGTCAAGAGGAAAATTACTGCAGACCTGGGCCACCGTCTATCCACCTGGCCCCACAGCGAGAGGAGGGGATGTGGAGCAAGAGGAGGGGATAAAGAGGAGGATAAGGGGATGAGGAGGTGGAGGGTCATGGGGACCCGGTGAGGATCAGGCCTGCCCAAAGGCACTGGTCTGAAGTCGGTTTCATGCAACAAAGGAATTTCAGGTCAGGGTCTGTGCCTGCGGGCCTCAGAAATAACCCTGACTCCACTTCTGTTTGCAGTGTTAAAATGTTTTTTTTGCTGATGCTACATTTTAGATGGATACAGTAACACATACAGATTTATTTCTGATAAATCCTCTTTAAGCTACCTGCCCAACAGCAGCTGATGAACATAGCTGAGAACTACTAACTAACCAGCCAGATATTTACCTCAGGGTTTGTGGGGAGCAAACTGGAATACAATTTGGATTTGCAATTGCCAACACAACTCCAAATGAAGGCTTATGGTGCTCTGAGTCTGCTAGAAGTATAAACAGGCAGCTGTTTGCTTGCACATTTGTCAGACCAGCTTTAGAAGCTAAGACGTTAAACTTGTGTTTTCTGCTTTTTGCTGCCCCCAAGTGGCCAAAACATAAATTTAATATAAGTAGTAAAATAAAGTGCTTATTACTGAATGTGGAATGGATTTTACAAAGGAGGAAGCGCTAGCCAAAGTTATTTTTTACAGTCCAGAAGACTAAAATTTGACCATGAAAATATAAATGATTGATCTATAATGAATCTATGAATCCATAATAAATAATTTAATAAATATCAATAAAGTCATAACTGTAGTTAAAACTCAGAAACTCTTTAACTCATAAACACTTTAATAAGAAATATAAAACATGCCTTATTAAAGGGTAGTACAGCAATTAAATGTTAGTTGAGAATGAGCAATTTAATAATTTATTTACTGTTTAGTAGTTTGTTCAACTTCATATTTTAGAATTTTATGTTTTGTTTTTAAAATGTGAATCTGTAAAGTAAGCATAGGCTGACTATATCTGTCACATAAATGTAGTCGGGTAGAAAACAATTATTTTTTTCTAAAATGCAGTAGAAAGTATAGCATAGAATGGATTTTTTTACTTCCCACAACTACAGAGAAGAAAACAGAAGAAACACTGTGTGATGATGTTTAAGAAGGAAGCCAGTTCTTCAAGTTGTAAGAGAAGGTTTTATTACCAGTGCTATTTACATAGAAATAATACAGCCTTGCCCCTCTCCCCCCCTTAAATGCATACGCACGCACGAACGCACATGAGCAAGCATACGCACACCCCCAAGCACTCAGTCACACACACAGAAGCACACATACATACACATTCACTTTTGTATCCAAGAATATCTCAATACGTCAGAAATAAGACACATTCTCTCTAGATCTTATACAATGTTCAAAGGAAACGCAAATTATCTTAAAACAATATTTCAGGTTAACTCATTGAGGACAAACAGCATTACAAGTTATTGATGTGTTTTGTGTAAGACATGTTGTGTATGATGATACAGAACTGAATGGATCTGAAATTAAGAATTAGAAGGTTTTGTATGGGATAAAATAACATCAGCTAACTTAGGTTGTCTTCTTTCAGAAGCAGATTTATAAGGAGAGATGAAAATGTTGTTTCCCTTCGTGTAGTTCCACAAAAGCTGACTGTTCAAGTAGGAGCCATAATGACGCTTGGCCCTGAAACTGCAGAATTATCTTCTGGGATTATTTAGGAAAAAACAAAGAATTTGTCCTCTGCTGTACAAAGATGTTCATCTACACACAGTCGGACTCTGCTGCTTTGAGCTGATTTTTAATTCTGTGTGTTTTAAGGCCACTAGATGGCAATGAGTGCTTCAGAGCAGACAGTGGTAATGTCACAGATGTTGTCTACCCCCTCTTTTGTTTTCTCTCTTTAGAGGAAGGAGACCTCAGCTGTTGAAGGAGATTCTCCATTATGGGTTCAATGTTCTTTTGAAAATCATTTCCATTAAAACATGTTTTTTAAAAGGGACAGTAACAAAAGGAAGGTCAGGTGAAGCAGTCTGCAGAGCAGAACTATCAGGACCGGCTGGATGGGTGTGAGATGTTTGTGTGTGTGTGTGTGTTGTGTGTGCGAGCGCTTGAGTGAGTATCTGTATAATTGTGTACGTGTTTTGAATAACGGTATAGACATCCTTCTTTTGAGCTATGATGAAGAACACTTTTTGTACATTAAGGGACTTATAGCTGAGATGTGTGCTACAAAAAGTCAATGCTAGAGTTGTGTGTATGTGTGTGTGTGCATTTTATATCAAGAAGCATCCTTGACATATTGTCTTATAATGGAGAGTGTTTAAAGCAGCGTTTTTGACTAAATATATTGTGTCTTGACTGCCACATACATGTTTGTATATGAACATTAAAGCATGTATTAAAACCTGGTCCTTTGTCTTTTTATTGAGGGTAGAGTGGCAACTTAGCAAAAGGGAGAGTTATAGAGCAACAGAATGAAAAAACAAAATTGCTTTAAAACAACGTTTAAAAAAAAATGTGGTGAGAAATTAAGATAACTAAAGATGACCCCTTTGGCTTTTCTCTCTAATGTGTTCCTAGAGCATTAAAATATACCTTCGTTAACATCAAGGGGAAGGCAAGAAGCATTTTTGCTGGGTGGAATCGCAATTTTTTTTTTTTTTTTTTTAAATAATTCAAGTCCAGTAATCCAGGAAGGGATATGCTTTGGAGTGTCTACTGGGCAGCACACATTACTTTTTTTTCCTGCAAGCTGTCCCCATTCTTGATTCCTGAAAATCAGTCCATGATTTTAAAAAGTCCTCCATAGAAATTTCAGCTGTACTTTACACTCCACAATGTGGGGTTTTTTCAGTTCATCTCCTGAATTAACTAGGCTGACATTCAGCCCAGGAATGGTCTCTGTGATTCGTCCTTTACCAGGCTGTGGTTTCTCCCATCTCCTGGCCTTGGTGGGACATAGGAGCGCTGTAGCTGGAGTTACTTGCCAAGGAAAAAGGAGGACTGGGTCCACCCCCGTAAGCCTCCCCCGGGACAGGCTGCAAGGAGCTCGGTAAGCCCGGCTCCGGACTCGGGGTTTCCGCGTGGGAGATCATGTCCGTGAACCTTTGGTCGTCTGAAGGGTGGTGGCCTGATCCTTCCATGGGTCCCGGTCCAGAGCCCAGCATGTAGGGGGACTCAGCTGGAGACTGAGCCTGCGAGGATGGAGGGCCGTGGGGGAAGAAGTCATAGTTGCTTCCTGGTCCATAATAGTCACCTTGGTATTCTGTAAACAGGAGAACACATGAAGTTAGACTTTCTACCCAAGACTTGGAATACACATGACAAATATTCACAGTTCACCACAGCAGTGTGCAGTTTCATACACACCTCCACCTCTGCCTAAGTGGTGAAATTGATCATGTCCAATTTCCAACCAACCGGTCTCCAACAGCCTCATTTGAGTGTATAAACAACTCCACACCTCTCCACCTCAGTTCTCTCGCCTTTTACACACTGCATTCATCTCCCTCACTCATTCAGCTCGCAGCGATGCGTGCGCCTCGATGGATTCCCCTGCTGAAAGTTCTGGATTTGGATGAGAAACTCCAAAATGAGATTCTAGCCTCCCTGCAGCCCTGCCAGGTCCTGGCGGCTGCATCTCCCTCCCTCATGTCTGATGCAGCTTCAAGCAACATCCCTCTCTCTATTTCACTAGGCTGTGGCTATTTCCTGAACTACACAGACCACACTCCGTTATTTCCCAGCATGCAATCCAGCTGGGGCTGCAACTAACAATTATTTTCATTATCAATGAATCCGGCAATTGTTTTCCTGGGTAATCCATTAATTGTTTGTTCTATAAAACATCAGACAATAGTACAATAGGCCCATCACAATTTACAAAAGGCCAATGTGACATCTTTACATTGCATGTTTTGTCTGACCAACAGTCCGTCTAACATTTAAGAATATAAACCAAAGTAAAGCAGCTCAGAAGCTGGAACCAGACAATGTGTAGAACTTTTGCTTTTTTTTTGCTTTAAATCAGGCATTGTTGCCTCTCTGGACACCTGAATTTCTCCCCTTTAATTGCATTTTTCTCCACAGTGGTGTCCTGTTCATGCTGCGTTAACTAGCACCTTGTTAGCTCATGGTTTCACCTTGAGATCGTGTTGCTGCTGTGTTTTTATCCACAATTACAATGTTGGATCATCAAAAGCTTTCCACATAAGTCAAATTAGTCTTGGTAGAGACAGGTTTTTCCCACTGTGTTTTCATCTTTGCAGAGATGAAAATAATAATATAATAATAATCTTTATTTGTAGAGCACTTTTCAAAAACAAGTTACAAAGTGCTTCAACAAGTGCAAAGACAACAATACAACACCCAAAAGACAACAATACAAGCAAGAAAACATTGAAAAGACCAAAATACACATAAAAAATAAGTAAAATACAATAAAATAAAAGGGATAAAATAAAGTCAAATAAGATCGGGAAAGGCTCTCCTATAAAAGTATGTTTTAAGAAGGGATTTAAAAGAGTTCACTGACTCAGCCGACCTGATTTCCTCAGGCAGGCTGTTCCAGAGCCTCGGGGCCCTGACAGCAAACGCTCTGTCCCCTTTAGTTTTCAGTCGAGACTCTGGAACAGACAACAGACCTCTACCTGAGGATCTCAAGGTACGTGCTGGTGCGTATGGGACTAAAAGGTCAGAAATATAACAAGGCGAGAGGCCATGAAGAGCTTTAAAAGTGATCAATAACATTTTAAAGTCAATTCTAAAACATACTGGGAGCCAGTGTAATGAAGCTAAAATAGGAGTAATGTGGTCATATTTCTTTGTTCTGGTTAAAAGCCTGGCAGCTGAGTTCTGGACAGTCTGGAGTCGATCAGTGGATTTTTGGGTTAAACAAGTAAAAAGGCTGTTGCAATAATCCAGGGGTGATGAGATGAAGGCGTGTAAAATGGTCTCAGTGTCCTTAAAAGTTAACATAGATCGAATTTTTGCTATATTTCTAAGTTGATAAAAACATGATTGAACAAGCTTTGTGGTGTGCTGCTTGAAATTTAAATTATTATCAATCCAGACATGAAGGTTCTTTGCAACAGGCTTAATGTGATTTAATAGGGAACCAGCAGATGGCAGTATTTGATTTGCCATCTGCTGGGACCCAATGACCAGGATTTCTGTTTTCTCTGAGTTCAGCTGGAGGAAATTACTTGACATCCATATTTTAACTTCACAAAGGCAGTCGGTAAGTGAACTCAGCATTCCAGGGTCTGTGGATCTGATGGGCAAGTACATTTGTGTGTCATCAGCATAAATATAAAAAGAAATATCGTGTTTATGGATAATATGTCCAAGGGGAAGCAGATACAAGGAAAACAAAATGGGACCTAAGACCGACCCCTGAGGCACACCATATTTAACTGGACAGAACGAAGAGACATAGTTGTTTACAGACATGCAAAACCTCCTTTTTGACAGGTAGGATGAAAACCATTCTAGGGCAGTACCAGAGATCCCCACCCAGTGCCTCAGTCTGTCTAACATGATGTTGATGATCAATGGTGTCAAAAGCAGCGCTAAGGTCCAGGAGTACCAGGACTGAGCACATGCCTTCATCAGCAGACATTAAAAGGTCATACTTTTCAAATAATTTGTTATTTTCCAGTACAGTGAGCAGCTGTTTGGACACAATTCTTTCCAGAATCTTTGCAATAAAAGGCAGTTTTGAAATTGGTCTAAAATAGTTCTCTCACATCAAAACACATCATGCCTGTTTGTCATTAAAAAGATCTCTATTAAGGTCTTAATTCAATGATTTCATGAAAATATCCACACATAAACACCAAACAGCATCAAGAGCCTTTAAATTATTACAACCCTCTATGGCACATTCACGTTCACTAAAAACCACGTGTCAACCTTATGGTGGCACGACAGGAAAATTCAGGGGATCGCCAAAGTCAGAAGGATTAGGTGCTCTGGGGAACACAAACACCCACACAAAATGTTACCCAGATTCCCAAAGAATCTGGCTATTGTAACTCCAACTTCAGGTTTAAAACTCCCTTTCTCAGGAATATTTGAGTAAAGCTTGATTTGTCACTGGTGTCTTTCTTGTCTAAATTGTTTCAACTCTCTCATGTCACTCACTTCAAAGCGCTGCAGCGCAAGCTGGCATATTAATGACAGAATACAGCTCAAACACCTTGCTTTCACAGAAAATCTCCAGCACACAGTCGGATTTACAAATATTCTCTAACTTCTAACACTGACTGACATGTTTATGCCTCCGAGAGGTTTCATACAAATTGGGTCCCCAACTGATGTTTTGATGTCTCCATGTATATTCAAATTTATACCTTATATTTAACATTACTGAGATCCAAAATGTATTTTGAATGTTGTCCATTACAACTGGGATTCAGAAAAACAGATAGCAGATTTCGTCACTTAGCTTTGCTGCTATTTAGCCATGCTGCTACTTTTGTATTTATTTGCCCAGGTTTTAAGATATTTGTCTCTATGATTTCTGCCTGCACCCCAAAGCAAAGAAAGTAAATGGGATTTTGTTTCTGGTGCTAACAGCATTTTAAAAAATGGATTTTAATTACAACATAAAATGTATCTACACAAACAAGGTACCTGTTCTCTGGATAATTAATATCCAGACAACAGGTAGGACATTTTCTTCATTAGTTTTCATAGGGTCTATTTCTTCAGTAGTTAAGATAAGATAAGAAAACCTTTATTTGTCCCACAGTGGGGAAATTGCGGTTTGCAACAGCAAAGACAAGAGCAGAGATAGATAAGTGTACAAAGTAGCATAAACAAGTGTCAGACAAGAAAGTACCGTTCTTACAGTAAATAAAAACAAAGTTACTGTACGTTAAATAAGACTAAACAGACTATGCCTTATACAGTACAGTCTCCTGTGGCATAAATAAATACTGGTAAATACTGTTAGTTCCAATGAAAACTGCTTACAGGATGTTCTCTGGATCTGGAGTAAGAAGCTGTTTGAATTTTTTTGCCAAGCACCAAAAATTCAATTCAATTCATCGCATTGGAGTGCAGACAGAAATGGCAGAAACAAATATCTCTCAATATCTGGACAAATAAAACCAAAACTACCTATAGATAACAAGACAGGTAGGGAATTTTCTTCGTTAGTTTTGTAAATTGGGTTATTGTTTCCAAGCTGTGCACACATGAGTCCAACCTTGACATCTGTCATGTACAAATTTGGACATAACCAATCACAAACTAAGCTTCTCTTGTACCCAGAGCAGTCTTTTATGCATGTGGTACATATTTGTCACTTTGGAGTGGAGCGTTAACGGAACCTGTAAGAGTTGCACTGATGGAATAGTTAGTTTTTCTTGCCCAAAGTCAGATGAAAGTGTTTTATGTGTTAAATATGAAGCTATATAAAACCCCCAGCTATCTTAGCAGACGCATTAAAATGACAAATTGTAATTTTACTGGGGGTTATCAGGGACTTCCTGTAGCCTCCTTATGTAAAGACAAAACTCTAGAAAGTTACAAGCCAAGCTATATTTCATTTGTAAAGAGGCAGGCTCGCTGTTTCCTCCTGTTTCCGGGCTTGGTTGAATGCTAAGCTTTACCGGCTTCTAGCTGTAGCTTCATTTTCAATGGACTTTTTTATACAAGTAGTATAGATCTTATCATTTAAGTCTTTGAAAAGAAAGTGAATAAGCATCTTTACTTTAAAATGTCCAAATATTCCTATAATCTTAAACATAGAAATGATCTCCAAACCAGGCTATACTAAACATTCAATCTGACTGCACAGTGATCCTTTCAACACAGCCACAGTCTCAAAGCACGGGTCATTGACTCAGCTGAGAATCAAACTTGTGATGTAGTGCTGATATGGCAAAAGTTTGGGATAACTGATTTTTGCATATTCGTTTGACATGCTATTTCCTAAAGCTGTATTTTTATGTGTTGTCGGAAAAAAATACTGCCAAAACAGAAAGTATTCATCCATTCTATGTGTAGCCAATTACTTCACACACTGTTTGCATCCATTAACTATTACAAACCTCCACCTGCCTTCTGCTTCTCACCTCTTCCATAGTCTTCTTCAAACTTTACATCCCCCTCAGCTCCAAATTCCCTAAATGTATTAAATCCATTCTGTTTCAACACCACCATGAACTGAGATCAATGACAGACTTTATTCCCTTGCCCCAGATGCTAGCATTTCCCCGCTCCCACCTCTTCTCACTCCTATTTCAGTCTAAACAGGCAGAATCCGGAACCAACAGGTTAGATATCAAGAAATATGTTGCCTAATTATAACAGCTGCATTTATGTGCTGTTGCACGTGGCATTTGGAAATTATCAAGAGAAACAATAACAGATGACATGACTTTCACAAACACGCTAATTATTTGATCTCACAAACAGGCCCCTGCTCGATCGGCCGACCTTGAGGATAAGCAACAAGCTTGTATTGTGGACTATGTGGTGAACAATGCGTGTGCATGTGTGTGCATGCGTGTGTATGTGTGTGCGCGTGTGAGATGTCTATGGAGGTAGGGGGAGCATTGGCTCTGCAAACTATAATTACACTCACGCATGCAGACGCGCCGTACCACACACAGGCATTCCTCCCTCCACGCAGCAGCAGAGGAATATAAGGAAGCGGCGAGTTCAGATAAAGGCGAGCAGACTGGCCTGCTGCTGCTGTGCACAAAAGGGTGTGAAAAGCAGTGCGCAAAGAAAGCAAGAGAGATGAGAGCAAGGCATGATGGTTTTGTCCTCTATTTTCCCTCCCACTCCCTGCGTTGTAGCCTTGACGGCTCAGTTTATTGTATGCTGTATGCAATGCCTGGGCCCTTCAGGTACATGTGCAGGAGCTGTACAGAAACCACAGCTCTCAGACTGTACATGAAAAACTAGCTGCTGATATACTTAAGAGGTCTGTGTTTTTTTCTGAAAGAATATTGATTTGAAGTTTTCCACGCTGACTGGAGATCAAATTGCCTTCTAGCACACGTGATTATAAAAGAAAACTACTGTGTAGAGAAAATAGATGATCATTTTTATTAGCAATTCATGTGTGGAAAACAAAAACTAGGTGCACCTCATCTCCAGCATTCGTTGGAAAGAAACTTTCACAATTGATAGCTACAAATATTTGCAATAATCAAACATGAAATTTTATGTGAAATAAATGTTCCATTGATTTTTAAAGGCTTGCTTTATTCCAGGTCAGTGCTACAAACGTTGGTTTTTTTTCCATTTGCAGTGTCCTGGTCAGTGAATGAGTGCAACACCACATACACCTTACATGTTTTCACACGATCTCAACCAGGTGAAAGATAATGAAGCTGTATGTAAGTCTTTCATTATGTAGAGTTAAAATCATCTTCAGAATACTTATCTTTTCAAACTTCATACATTCGCTTTTCATTGTTGAAATGCTTTTTTCTTGAACTACTCTTGTAGAATCTACTCGAATGTGTTACATTTTCCTTGAGAAATAAAGGTCTTATTTTTAACTATAACAATTTGTTGAAGTCATGGCAGCTTTATTTTTAAGGAGGAAATTAGCAACTTCTCAGAAAGAGAATGACACTCATGAATTGAGCGCGTTTTTTTTATCAAATGCTATAACCTGTGAAAGGTTATATGGCACGGCTTCATCTTGATTAAAAAGGAGACACTGGAAGGGTTACACCTTTCTATTACAGAAAGGCGGAGGAATCAAATCTCACAAATAGTGGTGTTGGCCTTTATTTTTTAGAGTTTACACTTGCCATTTTTGAAGTTCTCCATTCTGAAAGAGAGTAAACAAATCAATATAAATTGTCTTTTGAGCTTAAATGACTGCCAGCCAGCTGTGTTTGTACAGTGTCTGACTGGAAAACATCTGTTCCCCTAAAAAAAGGTAGTATGCAACAGGTAAGCAGGTTTTATGCCTATTTTGAGCCTTCATAATGTTTACATACATTCCTCTGTGAGCACTGAGATGAACCAAACTAGACTTTTGTGTTTTGATGAGTTTCCAACTAGAGGTGAAACTCTCTGAACATATGCACTGACTGAACAGCGCCCCGAGGTTGTAGTTAAATTAAGAATGCATCATGTGTTGTATCTCTGAGCAAATTTTGAATAGATTAAAAATTATGTGACCTCATTGTCCATAGAAACTCCACTGCGGTTACAGTAAATCTGTAGTGTACAACAGATAAAGAACAAGCTTTATGTAATCGTCTTGCAGCTCGATACTGTGATTATCAGCCTTGCTGAAGGTTGCAAGTAAGTTACACAATATCATGTTTTTGTAGTAGTGCCTTATATTTGAGATTATTATTGTGAGAAGTGAAGAACCGACAGTCATGGGGATACAGTATATTTAAAGATAGAGGACACATCATGTGCACTAAATGTGTATTTGTTGTCCCTGCATGTATTGTCACAAGCTATTTCTTACCGCCGTAGTAACCGTAGGCCCCAGGTCCCAAAATGTCTGGATCCTCCAGCCTGCCTCCAAGGGGCCTCATCCTCCTCGGGCCCCGGAAGAAGGCGTGCCGCCGGGCGCCCAGGGCACTCAGCTGCTTCATTCGTCGCTCTTTGGATCTTCTGTTCTGGAACCAGACCTGCATCGAACCAGAGAGACGGGCTTAGAGTTATCACCTGATCTCATCATGTTAAAAGGGTTTTAGCTTAAACTGCAGCCTTTTCTTCCGGATGTCATCGTTGCATCGTGCACAAAAATGTATGAAGCACCTACAAATGAATATGCATCAACATAATTTTAGGTATTTTCACCGCTCCATTCAATTTCATGCTCCCTGTTACAGAGTTCGCGTGGGAACCATAATTCAAACGGGACTTGAACAAGTGTTTTTTTTAAGTCAAGTTTGATTTCTTTTTGACAGATTTAAGGGGTGGAAAATTCATTTAAAGCGCTCTTATTCAAAAACTACAAACTGACAGATTTGCTACTGCCTTATAACTGTACAAATTCTCTGACACCTCTGTAACCACTTTGAACTGCATTCACTGTACAACCATTAGCTGTGGCCTTTTTTCATTTGTATTAATTGAGGTTTCCATTCTTGGATGTCAGCATTAAAATGGCTCAAAGTCAAAACCAACCAAATACAAGATGTAAATGCTTCATTGTATTATCAGAATCACAGAGGTATGATTAATCTAGTAATACCAGAGGCATTTTGTGTCTGTAATTCTGGTGGGAAAGGGCTTTTACTTTTAATAGAAATGTTACAATATATCTCTGGAAAGCACAAAGTATCAAAGACCAAGTCAGAAATGAGGAAAAGTATAAAGATGTGCCATTTTAAATTAAGCGTCTTATCTCTGGCAGAATATAAAGACACTTATAAACTGGAACCAGAAAAAACACTTTCAGCTACACTTTTTAGTCTTGAACACATTTTCTTTTTATAAAATTAAGATGAATAAGCAATATAAATGCAGCCAAATACACAACCTGTTAAAATAAACAGTCGAAGCTATAAATCAGAGAATAAAATGGCTTATCACTAACGTTAAATAAACTACTCTTTGAAGAGGAACAAAGGAGGGTTTAAAAATTGGAAAACTACACACCATATGGAAGAATGTCTGCATTTTAAGCACATAACACATCTTGTTTTGCCTTTGCATCACTGCTGCATAATGATGTATGTTCACCCTAGCTAGGCTACACCAGAGGCAGAATCCCACTGTGCTGCAGATTAACAAAAACACACACACAAAAACACCTAAAACCACTTAGGCTCTGTTCTATGTGCTCCAGCGGCGAAGGCGACACCTGCTTATTGAGAACAATCGTCTAACTGTAGGGTACATTTTTATGGAAATGCTCTCGCTCCCCTCGAGAGAGCGTTGCTTAGGGATTACATACACATGCTGGAGAAGCAGCGTGGCTCACAGGGCTCCCCGTGTTTAGAGCAATGGTATTTAACAAGCAATGAACGAGGAGGAAGATGACAAAACAGAGCCTCCATTTTGGCTCCAAGCAAAACACAGGGGTGGGGATCACAGATGGAGGGATGGACTGCCCGACTGCCTGATTGATTGACTGATTGATTTATTGACTGATTGAGCTCCGTTGGTGCAGCTCTCACACACACACACAGCAGGCTGCAGTATATGAAGTATATGATATAGATGAGGCGGTGGAGAAGCCCTAGCCTGCTCTAATAAGCAATGTGAACAGGCTGTAAGTGAGTAAGAGCAGAGAGGTGGGAAAGGGAAGGGTGGTATGTAAATCTGTGAAATCAGCGATAATTACAGTGAGTGCACAAAAAGCCACATCACAGTTGGCAGAGATGGTGCTAATCATCCTGACACAGTCTGCACCCAGACACCGAGTGTGTGTGTGTGTTTGTGTCTGTGTGTGTGTGTGTGTGTGTGTGTGTGTGTGTGTGCGTTGGAGACAGACAGAGAGAGATCCAAAACAGTGTATGCTTGTGTTAGACTGCAAAAACATGTTTGTATGTGGGGTTCCTCTTGCTTTTGGCAAAAACAAGACTAGCTTCTCACTAATTTCATGGCTGTACAACACATTTGATTACTGAAAGAAACCGCTCTCTGCACAAAATAAATTGTATTCTTTAAAAAAAGCTAGTTTTTATTATATCCATGCATCCATAAATTGGATTACTAGATCTTAATTTCAGAGCATAAATGAACGCCTAGAGGTATGGATCTGGAAATGTGGAAATTGGAGGCAAATAGGAATTAAATTATTCCTGGAATTTCTTTTAATAGTGGGGTGAGCACCATTCCATTTAAACATTTAAAAAAGTAACCCATTAAATTTAATTGTCAAGCAGTGTAAGAGTTGATTTCCAGGTGAATGTTTCCAAAAAATGTTTTAAATTATAATAATCTAATAACACAGTATTTCTGCAATATGGGATTCATTGTTAGGTGGGAATATAAAACTATTGTATGTTGTTGGTCATTGTTGCTTTTGATATATATTTATCTATTTGATTGTATATAATAGTTTGTTTATTTTTACATTTCTTTGTTCAGTTTTTTTCCCCTTGTTGCTGAATGCATGTTTTCTGTAAATTGTTGTGATTGTAAGAGCAACTTAAACTCTGGATTCAAATTCCTTCTATGTAGGTACACATCAATAAAACTGATTCTGGTTATGATGTATGTTTTGCTTTTAAACTATAGTTTTTTATACAGGATAATATCCAAATTAAAATGCAAACTGTCATGTATTATAATTGTGTATTATATGTATTTTTCTATCATTGTCATTTGAGGGAAGAAAATCACAAATAAAACAAAAAAACAAAAAATCACATCAGAATGCATGGTGGACAATTTACATTTGAACATATTCTGCTAATATAGCGCACCATGTTTTGACATGTATCCATAAAATTATAATAATCTCTTTGCCTCTGCATAAAATTAAGAAGTAATTTCACTGATTTATAATCTGTCATTTCTCTCTAATTTGTCTTTGTCTCGGCAGATCCTCCCTCATCCACTCCACTAACACAAGAAACAAAAGACAGCTGATCTTACCTGGATGACTCGCATGTTTAGTCCCGTTTCCTGGGCCAGCTGTTCTCGGATATGCCTGGTTGGTTTCGGCGTGGCGACAAACGCGGCCTTTAACGTTTCCAGCTGCTTGGCCTTGATGGTGGTCCGGGGTCCCCGCCTTTTGGTCCCCGAGTTCTGCTCCTCATTCTCAATATTGTTCGTTTCCTTATCTGAGGACGTTGAATTGTCCGTCTCTTTTATGTCGTCCTGTATTGGGTCCTGCAGATCCGGCGATAAACTCCTATCCGTACACGACGACACTGGGGAACGGGAGGGAAAACCAACAAGAGGAAGGTCACGATCCGAAATGTCAGGCAGGAGGAGGAGGATGTGTGGTGGTGGTGCTTTAATTAGGCCTTGAGATGCACAGCGGCAACACAAACTACACTGGAAAATATGTCTCCAAAACATGTCTTATATTTAACTGTAATGTGTCAAAAAAGGCACTTGGATTAAATTTTTGCTCTTGTTTTTCAAGCAAATTTGTATGTTGCATTTTATACATTTCTTTTAAATGTATTTGTTATTTGCAGATTTGTACTCAAAGTATTCCTGTCATAAAAATAGTACAAAATAAACTGTAAGCATAATATTTATAATTAAAGGCCTAGGATAAACATGTAAAATAAGATATTTACGTAGGAGATCACAACAAAATGTGAACGTGTAGAACAGGAGAGTGCATGGCACTGTCAGTACACCGGGTGTGGAGTGGGATTTCTGTTCTCGTGTGCTTTCTATAAGGATGAATAGACAGTGGAAAGAGGAGCAGCACACACGACCAGACTAACATACTCATCCCCAGTGGATCGTGGCGTACAATAACAGAAAGCCATTGTCCTGTGGAGGTAAATATTGAAACCATTCATCTGACAAGGTTGTTGCGAAACGCTCTCCATGGACTAGTGGAAATGTACAACAAAAACAGAATCTTGGAGTTCATTTAAAGGCGCCACTCGTGTCTATTGTCCCCCTGATAGGCCGGTTGCCATTTTCTTTATCAGATGCATAATATAATATTTATCTGCACGTCAGCCATAGTAAACATACAACATTGTCACAAATATGACATTTTCTGTTGCTTTTAGTGACGGAATAACAGGCAAAAACACGCATAACACGGCGTATTGTATTATAGTGTCGATTACCTGAGTTCAAATTGACTTCCTTAATGGCCCCGGAGGTCAAATAATCTTCTTTGCACACAAACTTGTTTTCGTCTATCACATAGAGTTCCTCTCCCGTGGAAAGCTGCTTGTTACACACCATGCAGGTAAAGCAGTTCAGATGAAACACCTTGCTGCGGGCTTTGCGGACCAAGTCGCTCGGCGAGATTCCTTGCAGACATCCCGCGCATTTTGTGCCAAACCGCCTGTAAAAAAGGACAAATGAATGTGAAGATCAAAGCACACACAATGATAACAATAAAACCTTTAACTCGGCATTTCGGCTATATCTAAAACAGCCTATATGCATATCAGTGACAATAAAAGAGATTGTTAATAGGCCTACCATTATATTTTAGTTGGATAAAATAATTGGAGCACTAATACATATATTTGGAACAATATTAATAAAAGTCAAATTATAATAATGCTAAAAATACGCTACTCTTACTTCCAAGCTAATAATGCACCGACAAATACCATCGCAAAACAATAACAATAACACTGCTACTACTAAAAAAAATAACAACAATAATGCAATGCTTCTTTTTTCACCATTCCAGTAAAAACCTGTTTAATTCTATAAATAGGATATATATATTTATTTAAGTATTCTTATTTATTATTTCGGTCAAGTATTAACCTAAGTGATTAGTAAACAATTATTCACAATAAACAAAGCCTGTCTGTGTCTGTCTATACAACTGACTGAGAGTATTAATAGTGGCGCGCGGATCATTAATAAAAAAGCAAATAAATAAAGCCCAAGTCTGGCTTTGCTTTTAAAAAAATTGGAGCCAGGAAACCCGCCTGCTCATTATTTTGATGGAGGTGCTCCGACAATAACCCCACGCAAAACGTATTAGTGACAATCAACGCATTGTAGCCAAGGATATATTATAGGATTACGCAGAGTGGGAGCATCTTAGCGTGAAAATCTTCTCTTAATCCATATTCACCCGCTTAAATACTGGGTGGGAAGACTCATCAATTTGATACACAAATAGCCAAAAATAAATTCAGCAGAATTCCCCTCCTGATTTTTGGATGAGGCAGTGTGAGCAGAAAAAGAGGCGGTGACTGTTTTGTGTCATTTTCACCATGAAAAGAGGTGAAAGGAAATATATCTGATGGATATATGCTATCTGCAAGGATGCCTTTACTAGAGTTTTAGCAGATGGTTGAGGTTCACATTGGGCCTACTGTACCTGGGTTTTCAGCCAGCCTCTCGGAGGGGGTGCTTAAGCCTTTGGGTGAAAGCAAGCACTCCTTTTGTGGAGCATTGTTTTAACACTAATGTAGGCTTGTCTCTCCATTTGCACTGGTATCGCTTCACTGTCCCTCTTTCACATGCATGGCCAAGCCTCCCCCAGCGAAAGGGCACAGCTCTACTTACACAACAAATGGACATATTAGGGTGATTACTGTTTCGCCTGGCTAATGGCTGGCCATTTAAATCCACCGCTTGATGGGGCCTGCGGTAATATGATGGCCAAGGCCGTGCGAGGCCAATAACAGCCCGTCCCGACAAAGGCTAATGCGTCTTACATGTCATTAGACAATTTGGGAGAAAATAACTGACACATACAAATGAAAATGATGCTAAGAGAGTGCGACGGGACAAACAAGGGCTTCACTTATCACTCAATTACCTGAAACACTTTTTAGGGATTGTGAACCGGTTAATAGCCTAATGGGTGTTTGAAAAAGTGTTGTCTGGATCTGGAAAATAGATAAAAATGCTAAGCACAGAATACACGTGGCTACACAGTGAAATACAATGATTAGATGTTCTTTTATTGGAGAGGCCCTTAAAAAACTCTATAATGTGACTAATATTTTATCTTACAAAGTAATTATAATCCTACATTTTAGCACAAATGAGTTATCAGGTGTAATTTTACTTTTATTACTATAACTTTGTTTTTTTCCAGGCACGCGTTAATAAACTGTTTTAACCTATGACTTAATATGTCGGCTAGACTTTGAGGGCCGCATTATTATTGTTATTATAGCCTATCTATTTTTTTCTACACATTTTTGTAGGCTACTGCATCCATAGACATATTGACCTAAAGTGGTATTCTGGCGCATTTTGTTGTGAAGACTGCAGAGCACAGTTTTAAAGAACTCTGAATCCAGACTCTCTGTTACCTGAAAAAGTCAATTTTGCAATAGAGCTTTCCGTCCCTGGAGAAGCACTTCTCGGTCAGGTTGCAGTTGCACTCACAGCACTGGACGCACTTGGCGTGCCAGGCTCTGTCCAGGACGTTGAGGAGGAACCGGTCCAGGATGGGCCGTTCGCACCCGGCACAGTGGACCATCATGTCTCCGGCCTGCAGAACGCCGAGTGCCGACCTTCCCACACGGACTGCGCTGCTCGGACTGGGGCAACCCGGGTCTACGCGGAACAACGTCTTGGCTCCGGGAGGTTTGCTGTCAGGCGAAATCTTGAGAAGCCTCTTGTTCAAAAGCAACGGAGTGACAGTTCCCCGGATTTGTTATAGTCCTGGTCCTGTTTGGTTGCTGTCCTGGCACTTGTCACAATCCACAATCCAGAGGAGAGGAAGGGAGATTTCATCCGCGCCAGCTGATGGACTGCATAATGGACAAACCGGAGCTGTTTTTTTCACGAGCACACTGTTAAAACATCATTACTCAGACGTGTTTATTTCTGGTATTTTATCCCTCGCACATGCTTTGTTTTGGGTCCAGTCATTTCCTTCGGGCTCACCTCACGTCGCCACTTTCGCATCACTGTGCCTGGGTTATCACGAGGTTTTTCCAGCGCGGCGCGCATCCTGAGCTCAGATTGGATGCCGCCCCTGTTAATTCCCGTGCCAGGAGAGCCAATCAGAACACAGTTGTTATGGTTACACGCTCATAGCTGTAGCCTCCGAGCAAACCTGGATCAGGGCCGTGGATGTTGGGTGTTTAGTGGAGCTTTTAGAGGCCAGCTTGCATGTGGAAGGTTTCATGGTGTCATGGAGGCATCTCTGACTTTATAGTGGAAAAAACATCCGCTCCTGGTTTGACACCAACCCTGCACCTCCCTGCAACATTTTGATCGGACCTTAAACTTGAAAGTCCACAAAAACGGCGAAGGTTAGGAAATACCTGTACAACAATCAAGGGAGGGAATCTTTAAATGGCACGGCGCTGCCACTGGAATGAATGTGAATAGATGCAATGGGAGTGGGAGTAGCCGAACAAGGGCTAATGCTACACAACCTTATAATGGCCCTGTGACAAAACGCTCCTGCATTACACTGTGGCTGCGCAGGGTGAGGAGGAGGGGCCGCGGGCCTTTTCTCATGCAGAAAGCTATTTACAGGGAAATGCGATGGATTAGCTGGAGCTCATCAATAGGGAGAGCCTGGTCACCCGGTGCTTTAACAGAGTGGCCACCAATCGAAGGGAATTTCAATATTTACCAACAGCCTGGTTTTGTTAGTTGCGGTTAAGCAAACATACAATACGCTAATTCGTGTAAGTGGATGGGTGAGACTTGTTTAAGCATTTTTCTTTCCACGTTAATGATGAATCATTTGAATGACATTAGGTGTGAATTTTGACTCATTTTACACGATTATAGGCCCTTCAAGACAACATTTAGAGAGGAACAGATAAACAACAGGGCTGTTAGTTTTAAGAGAGGAAGCATTAGGCTGAATAGAAGCATTTTAACTGTCATTTTTCTAGACCTATCTATCTATCTATATGAACAAGATACAGAATCAAATGTAATTTTTCGATTGTTATTATCGATAGGCCAATTTAAATTGGTTAGAAAAAAGAGATCTGAATTTAAATACATCACATTTTTTTAACTGTACATTAACTTGGCAGATGTTTTTGTCTAACTTGTCTATACACATACATATGGCTAATTTGCTTGGTCAACATCAAAGCACAAAAGTCAAAGTGTTCTTGTCAAAGGCACGTTGACAGGAGACGCCTGGTATCAAACCGCCAACTTCCCTTTCTTTTTCTTTATTTCTTCTCCATGATCTTCCAAACTAATTGCCTTTTGGCCATTACAAGAAGTCTTCACTTCTCAGCTGTCGCACTAACGGTATAATTAGTGTTTTCCTATCACAATTACGCGCAAGCTACCCAGTGTGGATTTTTCCTCCAGGTAGCAGTGGTTTAACCTGTGTATTTCCGGCCTTTGTAGGAGACAAGGCTGAATGAGTTTCCCCAATTATCCGAGCTCCTAACACATCAGCCTTTAGCCTGTAAAACGAGGGACAGACAAAAGGGGGGAGGGAAGGGGGGTTCAGGAGGGCAGACAAAAAGCCCATGGTGGGAAAAAGAGCATGTGAGGCAAATGCGTCCAATCACCTGTTTGAATGTAGCCACATCACATTGTGCAAAAGAATAAAAAAGCCCTGTTTGCTTTGCTCTGCTTGTGCACACTGAGCAGCACCCAAAGAGCAAGACCCTCACCTGTGGAGAGAAATGAGGGAGCTGTCCACAGTACTGAAGCCAGGAAGCACCAAGGACAGCAACAGGCATTTCACTTTTCAATGGGAATCCTATGCCCTCCATTACATGATCACATATATCTATCTATATAACCATTTGCATGTTAAACTGGTTAAACTAGGGATAACATGACATGGCATTATATCCTCCTATAGCCCAAGAAGATTTTTGATTTTTCACTTTTCCAAAACACTTTGCTTCAAGGACTTCACTTTCCAACAACCTTTTTAAATATGCATGCCAGTCTGCAGATGTCCCTAAAGATGGGTTACCTGGGTCTAATTTAACCCTTTTAGATTTTTCATAAGGAGACAGTTTCTCAGGTGGAGCAAAACATGACACATGAGCTCATCACATATTATAAACACTGACTAGACAATATCATTGTATTTTATAAAATAGTCTCAGAGATACAGAAGTAATAACACGAAATGTATTGAAAACAGTTTTATTAAAGAACAGGGTTTTGTGCATGCATTCTTTTTTTTCATGCTTATTTCACCCTCATACAAGGAGCAGTCATATCTGTCACTTAACTAATGGCAAAACACAGACCCAGAGTAATTCTATCAACACTACAGCATTTCTCCATAAAAAATTAGAAATCATTAGAATTTTGTAAAGTCTCAAAGCAAAGCCGAAATACCTTCACTCTGGAAGTAATTTGAAGTTTCAACATGTTCAAATCTCAGTGGTAAAAAAAAAAAATCCTGTCTCTTTTAATATCTTCATAAAATATTTTAGAGAAACCTTCGCAGGTTGGAGCGCTGAAGGCTGGAATGCTGTTAATGTTATTCAGTGCATGAAATAAGCATCAGAAAGCCTTCGAGCCCAGAACAAGATACAGAAGAGGCTTCATAAAAGATACCAAATCATACAAGAATCATTTTGATTAACCATTTTATTAATTGTTTGAAAAACACTTTTTTAAAAATGCATTTATCTATTTATTTTGGAGGATTGAAGTTTTGTTCAACACAGCTGTTTACATGTGCTTACAGACCATCACAACACATATTTTTCAAGGACCAACATCTGAAGTAAGCATTGGTCCCTTTTCTTTGCCACGAGGCCTTCATGAAATAGAAGCTGCGCAGTTCTCTCTCGATCCTTTTTAGTTTGTAATGCACAGGGAGTAAAAGCAGAATTTTAAACACGGCTTGCAATTTCCACAAACCCTGAACTCTCGGTGTCCCTTCAGCATGAGCTCCTATAGAATGTTTGGAATTTAAGAATGACAGAAAGAAAGGGGAGCTTTTGCAATACCTGAATTTCAGAAAATACTTTTTAAAAACAAGCAAAAATAAATCTTACTGGTGAAGTAGCTCAGTAATTTGTGGTAGTTGCTGTGCACTGTGAGCTGAAATGAAGCCATAAAGGGGCGGGGGGGAGGGCATGGATGGGAATATAAATCTTAAAAAAATGTCTAGAAAATGTGAGACCTGGAGAACAAAATATCAACCCCCACACCCGAAATTCATCCCCCACCTTCTCTGCTCCACTCCCCTTCACTCTGCACAGTGACAGGCCGGACACCTGAGCAGACCGGTTCCACCCCTCTCCTCCTCCCTCCCCTGCAGCCGCCATTCCAGGCATGCGGTGTCACCCCAACCCTAAAGACACGCACACACCCTCACACACATGCACGCTCACGACCACCTCCAGGGCCCCTCTTTGGCAGGGCGAGTCCCAAGGGAGAGGTTAGTATGATGGATGTCTGATTGGTAGCCCTCCCTTAGGGCCTCCCTCTCCGTCACCTCTCTGCGCTCTGAATTAAAAGGCCGTTTGTCTCCTCTGAGTCCTCAGCTGTAGAGCGCCGGCCTGCAATTTCACAGCACTCAGAGAAAGAGGGAGACCATTACAGAGGAGGTTGTCAGGGGAGCCATCAGAGCCCGGACACGCCTGAGGGACTCTCTCTTTCCCCTCTATCTTTCCCTGCTCCCGTCTCCTCCTGCTCAGCCCACCAACACCTCTGTCCCAGTGGAGGCAGCCAACTCTACACTCACAAATATATAAATATTCAAGGCTCTGTTACATTACAGCATGTATGCACCTATATGCATATCAGCATGCACACATGCATGCACCAATGCATACACGAGTGTCTTTTGGGACATTTTTAGATGCATCTCTCTCTGTTGTTGCTTAAATAAATGAATAAATCTAATTATACAATGTTACAGCATGTATACGGCTTTTGAAAGAAAAAATAACACATTCTTACTCATGGAGATAAAAAAAATACGCAATACATATTTAGTTTATTTGCAGCTACAGCTCTACTTGGTATTGTTGTAAGCAAACATTAGCAAACTAAAGATGGTATTGCTGTATAACTGACATTACTGAGTCAGTTTGATGCTTTACAATTTACCGTCATCAGAATATTGTCACTAGTGGCCAAAGAGGCATCTGTTAGAGGTCACATAGGCCCGTTTTAAACAACAAAACTGGCATGATTCTGTTTTTTTCTCATTAACAAATTGAATTAGGGGTATGCTTTAAAGAATTAGTTCTTACAACATGGCATCTGACCACATCCACGTCTTCATATTTGCTCCAAATGGTCACACTTGAAGGTGGTTGATTTCTCCACAACAACTGCTTTTGCGGCCTTTGTAGTCTTCAGGCAATGAATCGTACATATGGGGATAACAGAGCAGACTTTTTGACAGTCTCTCTTGGATTGCATTCATGGTGTTGCACTCGGTTGTACACATGAAAAGTTACAGAAGTTGTGTGAAGAATCAAAAGAGAGAGCTTGACAGAAGAGTTCAAATCCTTCTGTGCCTACTTTCTCACCTCCGCACCTGATTTGATTAAAGTGGCCGTGCTTGTGAGATTGCGACATTGGTAAAGGTGTGAAGGGGAGGAAGTTTCAGAGACTGTGTGACAATCTGACAAGTACTTTGTTTGAAGCATCCTGACCCCTCTCAGTATTTTCCAACTTTTCTGTCTATGGCACGCCTGTTCATTCCTACTCAAGATGTAAATCTTTAAAAAGAGGTTGTACTGTATATATATATATGTGTATATATATATATATATATATATATATATATATATATATATATATATATATACATATTTTTTTTATAGGGCTCTTTCATATCCTAAAAAAACAGGGCTCTATAGTTTTCAGTCAACTCAAACAGGAGTAAAAATAATTTTTTTTGAGGACTATTTTCAGCTGCAGATTAAAGGTGGGGTATGCAAATCTAATTCTATACACATCTTTTTGTCAAATTCAG